TCCAAACAAACGGAACTAGTAGAATAAATAGATAAAAGAATAATAATCAAATCAATGAATAAAAATAATAAATCAATAATAAAATCAAGAAATAAAGGCAGTACCAAAAAACAAAATTGATTAAAAAAAAAAATATATATATATATATATATATATAATATATATATATATAATAATTATATTTAAAAAAATGTACCAAAAAATAAAGTTGATTTAAAAAAATAATAAATATAAATAAATACAAATAAAAAAATAAAATAAATAAGTAAGTAAATAAATAAAAATAATTATTAATACATAAATAAAAAACAAATACATAAATACATAAAAATAAAAAATTATAAAAAGATAATAATAATAAAAAATAATAATAATTAAATAAATAAAGACACAGAGGACCACACAACTCACTCTGAGTTTAGACTCATATTTAGTTCTCTCAGACAGAAAGTGGAAGTGCTCCACTGCGTTTTTAAACTTCAATCCAATCCACTTTATTTCTACAGCCCATTTCACAAACAGTTTCCAAAGTGCTGCACAAATACATAATAATAACAGCAATAATAAAATGAAAAAATAAACTACTAAAATAATCACACTAGTGTTAAAATAATAAAACCAGTAAAAATAAAATAAGAGCAAAATCATAGAATAGAAATAAATAAATAAAACCAATAAAATACATAAAAAATAAATAAACTCCACACACCTTCATGACTCTCATCCGTTTGTGCGATACAGGAGCTTTAAATATCGTATAAATCGATGGAGTAATGATCATGGTTTTTTGCGTCTCTTCAGCCCGAGCGAAGTCCCGGTGTCCCCGTCATAAACGAACCGGAGGAGGCGATGTCGTCCGGCTCACCCGTCCCGCCCCCGCCGCACCCCGTCGTGCCCCGCCCCCCCGCCCCGGACACCCTCAGCTACCTGGAGTCGGCGAGTCTGATGTCGGGCACCATGGAGTCCCTGAGCGGCCTGGGCGAGGACGGCAGCTCCGTGGGCTCAGACTCCGAGATCAACGGGCTCGCCGTCCGACGCACCGACAAGTACGGCTTCCTGGGCGGGAGTCAGTACAGCGAGAGCGGGTGAGTCATACCGCCTTAAGAGATACACGACACACTGTACAAATACTACCTTAAATATAAACCTCTACAGCGAGAGCGGGTGAGTCATACCGTCTTAAGAGATACACGACACACTACAGAAATACTACCTTAAATATAAACCTCTACAGCGAGAGCGGGTGAGTCATACCGCCTTAAGAGAAACATCACACACTACAGAAATACTACCTTAAATATAAACCTCTACAGCGAGAGCGGGTGAGTCATACCGCCTTAAGAGAAACATCACACACTGTACAAATACTACCTTAAATATAAACATCTACAGCGAGAGCGGGTGAGTCATACCGCCTTAAGAGAAACATCACACACTGTACAAATACTACCTTAAATATAATCATCTACAGCGAGAGCGGGTGAGTCATACCGCCTTAAGAGAAACATCACACACTACAGAAATACTACCTTAAATATAAACCTCTACAGCGAGAGCGGGTGAGAAATACTACCTTAAGAGAAACACAACACTATCACATTATATAAATACTACCTTAAATAAAATTACAGTTGAGTCGCAGAGTTTCAGACAGAGCAGTGCCTCCAGTTAGCGTCGGCTTCTGAATGTTGTAATGACATCAGACACACACACAGAGACACACACACACACACACACAGAGACACACACACACACAGAGACACACACACACACACAGAGACACACACACACACACAGAGACACACACACACACACAGAGACACACACAGAGACACACACACAGACACACACACACACACACACAGAGACACACACACACACACAGAGACACACACACACACACACACACACAGAGACACACACACACACAGAGACACACACACACACACAGAGACACACACACACAGAGACACACACACACACACACACACAGAGACACACACACAGACACACACAGAGACACACACACACACTGAGTCTCTGAGTGTGTGAGCGTCACACTTTCCTCTTCTGTAAACGCCGACGCTCCGTGAGCTCCACAAACTCATGAATAATTAAATGTCGATCGATCGTTGGCGCCGTCGGAAACGCTCGCCGCAGCGTTTAACGAGCTCGGCCAATCACAATCGAGCTCACGCCGACAGCAGCACATCACCGGAAGAGTGTCACCACAGAGACAAACGACGTCCAGAGAGAGAGAGAGGATGTGATCAGACTCACGAGTCTGTGTCTGCGTCTCATCTGCGTCTCATCTGCGTCTCGTCTGCGTCTCGTCTGCGTCTCGTCTGCGTCTGCGTCTCATCTGCGTCTCGTCTGCGTCTCGTCTGCGTCTCGTCTGCGTCTCGTCTGCGTCTCGTCTCGTCTGCATCACGTCTGCGTCTCGTCTCATCTGCGTCTCGTCTGTGTCTCGTCTCGTCTGCATCACGTCTGCGTCTCATCTCATCTGCGTCTCGTCTGCGTCTCGTCTCGTCTGCATCACGTCTGCGTCTCATCTGCGTCTCGTCTGCGTCTCGTCTCGTCTGCATCACGTCTGCGTCTCGTCTCATCTGCGTCTCATCTGCGTCTCGTCTGCATCTCGTCTGCGTCTCGTCTCATTTGCATCTCGTCTGCGTCTCGTCTGCGTCTCGTCTGCGTCATGTCTCGTCTGCATCTTGTTTGCGTCACGTCTGCGTCTCGTCTGCATCACGTCTGCGTCTCGTCTCATCATCTGCGTCTCATCTGCGTCTCATCTGCGTCTCGTCTGCGTCTCGTCTGCATCTCGTCTGCGTCTCGTCTCATTTGCGTCTCGTCTGCGTCACGTCTCGTCTGCATCTCGTTTGCGTCTCGTCTGCGTCACGTCTTCGTCTGCGTCTCGTCTGCGTCTCGTCTGCGTCTCGTCTGCGTCACGTCTGCGTCTCATCTGCGTCTCGTCTGCATCACGTCTGCGTCTCGTCTCATCTGCGTCTCATCTGCGTCTCATCTGCGTCTCATCTGCTCGTCTCGTCTGCGTCTCGTCTGCATCTCGTCTGCGTCTCGTCTCATTTGCGTCTCTCGTCTGCGTCTCGTCTGTGTCTCGTCTCGTCTGCATCACGTCTGCGTCTCATCTCATCTGCGTCTCGTCTGCGTCTCGTCTCGTCTGCATCACGTCTGCGTCTCATCTGCGTCTCGTCTGCGTCTCGTCTCGTCTGCATCACGTCTGCGTCTCGTCTCATCTGCGTCTCATCTGCGTCTCGTCTGCATCTCGTCTGCGTCTCGTCTCATTTGCATCTCGTCTGCGTCTCGTCTGCGTCATGTCTCGTCTGCATCTTGTTTGCGTCACGTCTGCGTCTCGTCTGCATCACGTCTGCGTCTCGTCTCATCTGCGTCTCGTCTCATCTGCGTCTCATCTCGTCGCGTCTCGTCTGCATCTCGTCTGCGTCTCGTCTCATTTGCGTCTCGTCTGCGTCACGTCTCGTCTGCATCTCGTTTGCGTCTCGTCTGCGTCACGTCTTCGTCTGCGTCTCGTCTGCGTCTCGTCTGCGTCTCGTCTGCGTCACGTCTGCGTCTCATCTGCGTCTCGTCTGCATCACGTCTGCGTCTCGTCTCATCTGCGTCTCATCTGCGTCTCGTCTCATCTGCGTCTCGTCTGCGTCTCGTCTCATCTGCGTCTCGTCTGCGTCTCGTCTGCATCTCGTCTGCGTCTCGTCTCATTTGCGTCTCGTCTGCGTCTCGTCTGCGTCACGTCTCGTCTGCATCTCGTTTGCGTCTCGTCTGCGTCACGTCTTCGTCTGCATCTCGTCTGCGTCTCGTCTGCGTCTCGTCTGCGTCACGTCTGCGTCTGCATCTCATCTGCGTCTCGTCTGCGTCTCGTCTGCATCTCGTCTGCGTCTCGTCTCATTTGCGTCTCGTCTGCGTCTCGTCTGCGTCTCGTCTGCATCTCGTCTGCGTCTCGTCTCATTTGCGTCTCGTCTGCGTCTCGTCTGCGTCACGTCTCGTCTGCATCTCATTTGCGTCACGTCTTCGTCTGCGTCTCGTCTGCGTCTCGTCTGCGTCTCGTCTCATTTGCGTCTCGTCTGCGTCTCGTCTGCGTCTCGTCTCATCTGCATCTCGTTTGCGTCTCGTCTGCGTCACGTCTTCGTCTGCGTCTCGTCTCGTCTGCGTCTGCGTCTCGTCTGCATCTCGTCTCGTCTGCGTCTCGGGACAGGAACAGGACACGGTTTTTATGTCCACACATTCTCTGGTCCTTCAGGTCATGACCTGAGCTCAAACATGAACAAGAACAGAAGAACAAACATAAACGTGTAAAATCACCAGAGTGAAACCTGCGCATGTTTGATTGTTCTGTGTGTGTTCTGTGTGTGTTGTGTGTGTGTGTGTTTGATTGTTCTGTGTGTGTGTGTTGATTGTTCTGTGTGTGTGTTGATTGTTCTGCGTGTGTTCTGTGTGTGTGTTTGATTGTTCTGTGTGTGTGTTGATTGATCTGTGTGTGTGTTTGATTGTTCTGTGTGTGTGTTGATTGTTCTGTGTGTGTTGATTGTTCTGCGTGTGTGTTTGATTGTTCTGTGTGTGTGTGTTGATTGTTCTGTGTGTGTGTTTGATTGTTCTGCGTATGTGTTTGATTGTTCTGTGTGTGTGTTTGATTGTTCTGTGTGTGTTCTGTGTGTGTGTTGATTGTTCTGTGTGTGTTGATTGTTCTGTGTGTGTTTGATTGTTCTGTGTGTGTGTGTTTGATTGTTCTGTGTGTGTGTTTGATTGTTCTGCGTATGTGTTTGATTGTTCTGTGTGTGTGTTTGATTGTTCTGTGTGTTCTGTGTGTGTGTTGATTGTTCTGTGTGTGTGTGTTGATTGTTCTGTGTGTGTTCTGTGTGTGTGTTGATTGTTCTGTGTGTGTGTTGATTGTTCTGTGTGTGTTGATTGTTCTGTGTGTGTGTGTGTTGATTGTTCTGTGTGTGTGTGTGTTTGATTGTTCTGTGTGTGTGTTTGATTGTTCTGTGTGTGTTCTGTGTGTGTGTTGATTGTTCTGTGTGTGTGTTTGATTGTTCTGTGTGTGTTCTGTGTGTGTGTTGATTGTTCTGTGTGTGTGTGTTGATTGTTCTGTGTGTGTATGTTGATTGTTCTGTGTGTGTGTTGATTGTTCTGTGTGTGTGTTGATTGTTCTGTGTGTGTGTGTGTTGATTGTTCTGCGTGTGTGTTGATTGTTCTGCGTGTGTGTTTGATTGTTCTGTGTGTGTTCTGTGTGTGTGTGTGTTGATTGTTCTGTGTGTGTGTGTGTTTGATTGTTCTGTGTGTGTGTTTGATTGTTCTGCGTATGTGTTTGATTGTTCTGTGTGTGTGTTGATTGTTCTGTGTGTGTTTGATTGTTCTGTGTGTTCTGTGTGTGTGTTGATTGTTCTGTGTGTGTGTGTTGATTGTTCTGTGTGTGTTCTGTGTGTGTGTTGATTGTTCTGTGTGTGTGTGTTGATTGTTCTGTGTGTGTGTGTGTTGATTGTTCTGTGTGTGTGTTGATTGTTCTGTGTGTGTTCTGTGTGTGTGTTGATTGTTCTGTGTGTGTGTGTTGATTGTTCTGTGTGTGTGTGTGTTGATTGTTCTGTGTGTGTGTTGATTGTTCTGTGTGTGTGTGTTGATTGTTCTGTGTGTGTTGATTGTTCTGTGTGTGTGTTGATTGTTCTGTGTGTGTTCTGTGTGTGTGTTGATTGTTCTGTGTGTGTGTTGATTGTTCTGTGTGTGTTCTGTGTGTGTGTTGATTGTTCTGTGTGTGTGTTGATTGTTCTGTGTGTGTGATTGTTCTGTGTGTGTGTGTGTTGATGTTCTGTGTGTGTGTTGATTGTGTCTGTGTGTGTGTTGATGTTCTGTGTGTGTGTCTGTGTGTGTGTGATTGTTCTGTGTGTGTGTGTTGATTGTTCTGTGTGTGTGTTCTGTGTGTGTGTTGATTGTTCTGTGTGTGTGTGTTGATTGTTCTGTGTGTGTTCTGTGTGTGTGTTGATTGTTCTGTGTGTGTGTTTGATTGTTCTGCGTATGTGTTTGATTGTTCTGTGTGTGTGTGTTGATTGTTCTGTGTGTGTGTTGATTGTTCTGTGTGTGTTGATTGTTCTGTGTGTGTGTTGATTGTTCTGTGTGTGTGTGTTGATTGTTCTGTGTGTGTGTTCTGTGTGTGTGTTGATTGTTCTGTGTGTGTTGATTGTTCTGTGTGTGTTCTGTGTGTGTTTGATTGTTCTGTGTGTGTTGATTGTTCTGCGTGTGTTGATTGTTCTGTGTGTGTTCTGTGTGTGTGTTGATTGTTCTGTGTGTGTTCTGTGTGTGTGTTGATTGTTCTGTGTGTGTGTGTGTGTGTGTTCTGTGTGTGTGTGTTGATTGTTCTGTGTGTGTGTGTTGATTGTTCTGTGTGTGTGTGTTGATTGTTCTGTGTGTGTTTGATTGTTCTGCGTGTGTTTCAGGGAGAAGGAGGTGCGTGTGGAGGTTTCTCGTCAGAGGGAGATGAAGTGGCTCGACATGTTTAACCACTGGGACAAATGGGTCAAACATCGGTTCCAGAAGGTGAGAGTCCAACACGTCACCACAGGGTCACAGGGTCACCACAGGGTCGTCACAGGGTCACCACAGGGTCACAGGGTCACCACAGGGTCACAGGGTCACCACAGGGTCGTCACAGGGTCACCACAGGGTCACAGGGTCACCACAGGGTCACAGGGTCACACAGGGTCACAGGGTCACCACAGGGTCACCACAGGGTCACCACAGGGTCACCACAGGGTCACCACAGGGTCACCACAGGGTCACCACAGGGTCACCACAGGGTCACAGGGTCACACAGGGTCACAGGGTCACCACAGGGTCACAGGGTCACCACAGGGTCACCACAGGGTCACAGGGTCATCACAGGGTCACCACAGGGTCACAGGGTCATCACAGGGTCACCACAGGGTCATGTTTACACCGAAACAAATCACTGTATCAGAAATGATCTGCGTCCACACTCGTTGTTTCTGTGTCTGTGCAGCTTTGACACATTTGTTTAAGTTTTACACAAACTAAACTTAAATCACATGATTCATTTGCATAAACTCATGTGTGATAAAAACTGTTGTTTCTTGTGTCTGATGTGGTTCAGTTTGTGTTGGACTAAAGGACACAGTGGAATATGAGTGTTCTCTCTGTGTCAGAGGGGTGTTCTCTCTGTGTCAGAGGGGTGTTCTCTCTGTGACAGAGGGGTGTTCTCTCTGTGTGACAGAGGGGTGTTTCTCTCTGTGTGTCAGAGGGGTGTTCTCTCTGTGTGACAGAGGGGTGTTCTCTCTGTGTGTCAGAGGGGTGTTCTCTCTGTGACAGAGGGTGTTCTCTCTGTGTCAGAGGGTGTTCTCTCTGTCTGTGTGACAGGGGTGTTCTCTCTGTGTGACAGAGGGGTGTTCTCTCTGCGTCAGAGGGGTGTTCTCTCTGTGTCAGAGGTCTGTGTCAGAGGGTGTTTCTCTCTGTGTCAGAGGGGTGTTCTCTCTGTGACAGAGGGGTGTTCTCTCTCTGTGACAGAGGGGTGTTCTCTCTGTGTGTCAGAGGGGTGTTCTCTCTGTGACAGAGGTGTTCTCTCTGACAGAGGGGTGTTCTCTCTGTGTGACAGAGGGTGTTCTCTCTGTGTGACAGAGGTGGTGAGGGGTGTTCTCTCTGTGTCAGAGGGGTGTTCTCTCTGCGTCAGAGGGGTGTTCTCTCTGTGTGTCAGAGGGGTGTTCTCTCTGTGACAGAGGGGGTGTTCTCTCTGTGTGACAGAGGGGTGTTCTCTCTGTGTCAGAGGGGTGTTCTCTCTGTGTGACAGAGGGGTGTTCTCTCTGTGTGACAGAGGGGTTGTTCTCTCTCTGTGACAGAGGGGTGTTCTCTCTGTGTCAGAGGGGTGTTCTCTCTGTGTGTCAGAGGGGTGTTCTCTCTGTGACAGAGGGGTGTTCTCTCTGTGTCAGAGGGTGTTCTCTGTGTGACAGAGGGTGTTCTCTCTGTGACAGAGGGGTGTTCTCTCTGTGTGACAGAGGGAGTGTTCTCTCTGTGTCAGAGGGTGTTCTCTCTGTGTGTCAGAGGGGTGTCTCTCTCTGTGTCAGAGGGGTTTCTCTCTGTGTGTCAGAGGGGTGTTCTCTCTGTGTGACAGAGGGTGTTCTCTCTGTGTCAGAGGGGTGTTCTCTCTGTGTGTCAGAGGGGTGTTCTCTCTGTGTCAGAGGGTGTTCTCTCTGTGTGTCAGAGGGGTGTTCTCTCTGTGTGACAGAGGGGTGTTCTCTCTGTGTGACAGAGGGGTGTTCTCTCTGTGTCAGAGGGGTGTTCTCTCTGTGTCAGAGGGGTGTTCTCTCTGTGTGTCAGAGGGGTGTTCTCTCTGTGTGACAGAGGGGTGTTCTCTCTCTGTGTCAGAGGGGTGTTCTCTCTGTGTCAGAGGGGTGTTCTCTCTGTGTCAGAGGGGTGTTCTCTCTGTGTCAGAGGGGTGTTCTCTCTGTGTGTCAGAGGGGTGTTCTCTCTGTGTGACAGAGGGGTGTTCTCTCTGTGTCAGAGGGGTGTTCTCTCTGTGTCAGAGGGGTGTTCTGCTGATGGTGAGTCTGTTCTGTGTTTCTGTCGTGTTGGTTCAGGTGAAACTTTTCAGAGATTAAACGTCTGCAGTTGCAATAATTGCAAAAATGAACCACCGCGGAAAAAAGCTGTTCAACACGAAGCACGATGGGCCTAAAACCAAGACTAAACCAGGACTAAACCAAGACTAAGGTCTAAACTAGATCTAAATCTGGTCTAGACCTGGTCTACACCAGGACTAAACCAGATCTGAACCAGGTTTGAATCAGGACTAAACCAGGTCTGGACCAGGTCTAAAACCAGGACTAAACCAAGACTAAAGCAGGTCTAAACCAGGTCTAAAACCAGGACTAAACCAGGTCTGGACCAGTCCATCGTGTGTTGTGTTTCTTGTTTCTTGTTTCCACTCATTGTCTTTCGTCGTATTTTTAGCGTCCTGAGTCACTTCCTTCTGCACCTGGAGCCACAACAGTTTAACCCGACCTCCCCGTCACCACAGGCTCTCCGGGTCTGTTCCCGTGGACTTAGAGCCGCTCTACCTGGTCTTTTCTGTCTTAAAAAACATTAAAAAACAGAACTAGTTCACTGTAAACGGTTTGTAAAGTTGTTCCTCTCTGATCTTCTGCTTTCAGAGTCTCCACATTATTCACCATGGAGATTTAAAAACACTTTACACAACGTTTAGAGTCCAGAGTCCAGGTCTAAACCAGGTCTAAACCAGGTCTGAACCAGGTCTAAACCAGGTCTGAACCAGGTCTGAACCAGGTCTAAACCAGGTCTGAACCAGGTCTGAACCAGGTCCGAACCAGGTCTAAACCAGGTCTAAACCAGGTCTGAACCAGGTCTGAACCAGGTCTAAACCAGGTCTGAACCAGGTCTGAAACCAGGTCTAAACCAGGTCTGAACCAGGTCTGAACCAGGTCTGAACCAGGTCTAAACCAGGACTAAACCAGGTCTGAACCAGGTCTAAACCAGGTCTAAACCAGGTCTAAACCAGGTCTGAACCAGGTCTGAACCAGGTCTGAACCAGGTCTGAACCAGGTCTAAACCAGGTCTGAAACCAGGTCTAAACCAGGTCTAAACCAGGTCTGAACCAGGTCTGAACCAGGTCTGAACCAGGTCTGAACCAGGTCTAAACCAGGACTAAACCAGGTCTAAACCAGGTCTAAACCAGGTCTGAACCAGGTCTGAACCAGGTCTGAACCAGGTCTAAACCAGGACTAAACCAGGACTAAACCAGGTCTAAACCAGGTCTGAACCAGGTCTGAACCGGGTCTAAACCAGGTCTGAACCAGGGAACCAGGTCTAAACCAGGTCTGAACCAGGTCTAAACCAGGTCTGAACCAGGTCTGAACCAGGTCTAAACCAGGAGGTCTAAACCAGGTCTGAACCAGGTCTAAACCAGGTCTAAAACCAGGTCTAAACCAGGTCTGAACCAGGTCTAAACCAGGTCTAAACCAGGACCAGGTCTGAACCAGGTCTGAACCAGGTCTAAACCAGGTCTGAACCAGGTCTAAACCAGGTCTAAACCAGGTCTAAACCAGGACTAAACCAGGTCTGAACCAGGACTAAACCAGGTCTAAACCAGGTCTGAACCAGGTCTAAACCAGGTCTGAACCAGGTCTGAACCAGGTCTAAACCAGGTCTAAACCAGGTCTGAACCAGGTCTAAACCAGGACTAAACCAGGTCTGAAACCAGGTCTAAACCAGGTCTAAACCAGGTCTAAACCAGGACTAAACCAGGTCTGAACCAGGACTAAACCAGGTCTAAACCAGGTCTAAACCAGGTCTAAACCAGGTCTGAACCAGGACTAAACCAGGACTAAACCAGGTCTAAACCAGGTCTAAACCAGGACTAAACCAGGACTAAACCAGGTCTAAACCAGGACTAAACCAGGACTAAACCAGGTCTAAACCAGGTCTAAACCAGGTCTAAACCAGGTCTAAACCAGGACAAAACCAGGACAAAACCAGGACAAAACCAGGTCTAAACCAGGTCTAAACCAGGTCTAAACCAGGTCTGAACCAGGACAAAACCAGGTCTGAACCAGGACTAAACCAGGACTAAACCAGAACTAAACCAGTACTGAAACAAAGAGTAAAACCAGGACTTAACCAAGATTGAACCAAGACTAAACCAGGTTTAAACCAGGACTAAACAAGGACTAAATCAGGACTAAACCAGGGACAAGAATGCTAACAGTGCATTTCCTGATTCTCGGACAATAAAAGGCAGAACACAGAGGACTTAGTTTGACGTCAGGAGCTGCTTTTACAATAAATCTGTTCTGATTTTACTCTAACACATGGAGGAAAATAACACTTTAAACTAGTGTTGGGAGGTGTCCAAATGTTGATACTGTGAAACCGTCTCAGGATTTTACCGGCGTGTACGGCATTACTGTATTACTGAAAAGTTTTACTACGACTTCAGTAAACCACAAAGCCGCACCGAGGTCCGGTCTGTGTGTACGACCTGCAGACTTAAACCTCACAAAACCACAGCCGCACGTCAACGTGAAGACGACTCCACCTGAAGCTGCAGCAGGACGAACACGCGCAGCTCTGACTCTGTTTGTCAGTGTAAAGACGATCAAACTGGACTGAGGCGTTTAGTCGTTTGTATCAGGTCCACAAAGAAACTAACAGAACACACTTGTATTTACCTTCTGTACAGACTCACCACCACAAACACACCGTTTCAAAAGGACATTTTAAAGCTCTTATTAGTACTGGGCTCTTTCACACGACACAGATCTGCCCCAGGAGCTCGATGTGCTGATGTAAAACCGCAAATACAATCTGTGGATTTTGATGGGGATACACGCCAAAAGAGTCAAAAAATACGATGGATCTTATTTTCTGAAATATCCGCACACAGGACGTGCTGCTCCAGACGTGCATCTAGAGCGTCTAGATCAGTGGTGCTCAATATGTCGATCTCGATCTACCAGTTGATCTCCAAGGTCGTGTGGGTAGATCGTCGTGTCTCGTGTTTGGACTCGTGTTTGGACTCGGTCTTGTCTCTCACTCGAGGTCTGACACTCAACAAGTGTGATCATATTTCATTCCGGCCGCTGCTGTTGGTAATAAACTTGTAGCGGGTGCAGGAGCGTGTGGGGCGTCTCAGTTCGGCCTGTGCGCTCATTTGAAACCCGCGGAGACTCTACGGCGCATCACAAACACACACGCTCCCTATGCACGGCTCGTCTGCGACAGCGTGTGCCCTCGTGTACCAGCGTGCATCACAGGGCAGGTTCAACTTCCTAAACATCCTACCTGTCCACCTGCCTCACGTCAGCACGCCGCCCCTCGCCTTTTCACGCTCTCGCTCCTTCCTGCGTACAGCCAACACAAGCCCCTCCCACAGTGCGGCTGATTAGAAGAACAAGACCAAACGTGAAGCAAAAACCAGTCTAAATTTGTGTTCCAGTGTTGGCACAAAGCAGGTCTACAGCATAGAGCGGATCTACAGAACAGACCTACTGCCACATTTGGCTGAAGTTTGTCTAACAAAAGTGACAAATGCATCTGTGTTTGTCACGATGTGCGTTTGGTTTGGTAAACGTGCAGAGGCTGGTAAATATCACTGCAAAACCACAAAAGAATGAAACTCCAGTTTGGAACTTTAAAAAACAGGTTTAAAAATCTTCCTTCACTTTTTTCACAGTTTTGTGTAAAGTGCCAGAGGAAGTTCTCTTAAAGAAGAGGTTCTCAAACTGTGGGGGAGGGTCCAGAAAAGGGCACAGAGTGTTTCAGTGCAGTTTGTTTGACTTTGTATCAGGTCGATCATTTTGACTTGGTCATTTTGTAAGAAGCTCACATGATGAAAAAGTGTGAACACCTCTGGTCTAGAGCATCTAGAGCGAACAGTGGAGCCGCCCTCATTCACTTTCCATGAATTCTAAAAGTCACACGTCCAAAAGTTTCAGTTTTTACGCTCGTGTAGGGTGAAATCCACACATGCAGTGGAGCCAGGCCCATAATCTCTGAAAAGTTAAAACACGAACTGTCTCCAACGCGACACAAACAGAACAGACTCACCGTCAGCAGAACATCCTCTGTCACTGAAAAAAAACAACTAATATTCCACTGAGTCGTGTCCTTTAGTCCAACAGAAATTGAACCACATCAGCAGATGTGTTTTTATCAGCACTAACAGTTTATGCAAATGAGCCACGCGGGTTTAAGTTTAGTTTCTGTAAAACATAAACAAATGTGTCCTGAAGCCAAAACGCTGCCAAACTGCAGAAGTACGAGTATTTTTGGGGGGACCAACTCTCTCGCGGTCGGACTTGTGTCTTGTCTTGGTTTTACGAGCGTCACGTGAGAACAAGAACAGAACGAAACTAATCGAACGTCGTCTCCCCAAGAAACAATATAAACACTATTAGATTTAAATTGTGATGCATTAAACTGAAAATACAAACACACATTCATTTGTGCTGAGCAAACACTTTTAGATATCAGTAAATTATAATATTATTACATCAGGTCTTTATACTCTGCAGATTTTTTTAATGACGGTGATGAAACTGATACTGTTGTTTTGTTTTGACATGACAGTAAACTGAAATGCTGTAATATCACACAACTCTACTTAAAACCTTCCTTTAGATTTAAACCGTTTGTGATTTTAATCTTCTTTCCTTCTGAGTCGTCGTGGGCGGCTCGTTCTGTTTCAGTTCCTCGTGAGTTCTTCCTGTTTGTGTTTCAGGTGAAGATGCGCTGCAGGAAGGGCATCCCCTCGTCCCTCAGAGCCAAGGCCTGGCAGCTCCTCTCCAACAGCCAAGAACTCCTCCAGGACAACCCCGGCAAGTTCCAGGTACGGGAGGGCATCTGAGGCGATCTGAGGCACAGGGAGGGCATCTGAGGCACGGGGAGGGCATCTGACTGTGTGTGTGTGCAGGAGCTGGAGCGGGAGCAGGGGGAGGCCAAGTGGTTGGACATCATCGAGAAAGATCTGCACCGACAGTTTCCCTTCCACGAAATGTTCGCCGCTCGAGGAGGACACGGGTACAGGACTGGGACTAAACCGGGACTGGACCGGGACTGGACCGGGAATAAAGCGGGACTAAAGCGGGACTAAAGCAGGACTGGACCAAGACTAGACCGGGACTGGACCGGGAATAAAGCGGGACTGGACTGGGTCTAAACCAGGTGACTGAAGCCGGATTGAAGTGGGACTGAACCAGGACTGAACGGGACTGAACCCAGTCTGTGTCTGTGTGTGTGTGTGTGTTTGTGTGTCTGTGTTTGTGTGTTTGTGTTTGTGTTTGTGTGTTTGTGTCTGTGTTTGTGTGTCTGTGTGTGTGTGTGTGTTTGTGTGTCTGTGTTTGTGTGTTTGTGTGTCTGTGTGTTTGTGTGTCTGTGTTTGTGTGTCTCTGTGTGTGTGTTTGTGTCTGTGTTTGTGTGTTTGTGTCTGTGTTTGTGTGTCTGTGTTTGTGTTTTTGTGTTTGTGTCTGTGTTTGTGTGTCTGTGTTTGTGTCTGTGTTTGTGTGTTTGTGTTTGTGTGTCTGTGTTTGTGTGTTTGTGTGTCTGTGTTTGTGTGTTTGTGTCTGTGTTTGTGTGTCTGTGTTTGTGTGTCTGTGTGTGTTTGTGTGTTTGTGTCTGTGTTTTGTGTGTCTGTGTTTGTGTGTCTGTGTGTTTGTGTCTGTGTTTGTGTGTCTGTGTTTGTGTGTTTGTGTTTGTGTCTGTGTTTGTGTGTTTGTGTTTGTATGTCTGTGTTTGTGTGTGTCTGTGTTTGTGTGTTTGTGTCTGTGTTTGTGTGTCTGTGTTTGTGTGTTTGTGTTTTTGTGTCTGTGTTTGTGTGTTTGTGTTTGTGTGTCTGTGTTTGTGTGTTTGTGTTTGTATGTCTGTGTTTGTGTGTGTCTGTGTTTGTGTGTTTGTGTCTGTGTTTGTGTGTTTGTGTTTGTTTGTCTGTGTTTGTGTGTCTGTGTTTGTTTCTGTGTTGTGTGTCTGTGTTGTGTGTCTGTGTGTTTGTGTGTTTGTGTGTCTGTGTTTGTGTGTCTGTGTGTGTCTGTGTTTGTGTCTGTGTTTGTGTCTGTGTTTGTGTGTCTGTGTTTGTGTGTCTGTGTTTGTGTGTTTGTGTTTGTGTGTTTGTTTCTGTGTTTGTGTGTCTGTGTGTTTGTGTCTGTGTTTGTGTGTCTGTGTTTGTGTGTTTGTGTGTCTGTGTTGTGTGTCTGTGTCTGTGTTTGTGTGTCTGTGTGTGTGTTGTGTGTTGTGTTTGTGTTCTGTGTGTTTGTGTGTCTGTGTTTGTGTGTTTGTGTTTGTGTCTGTGTCTGTGTGTTTGTGTGTCTGTGTTGTGTGTTGTGTGTGTGTGTTGTGTCTGTGTGTTGTGTGTTTGTGTGTCTGTGTTTGTGTGTGTCTGTGTTTGTGTTGTGTGTGTGTGTTTGTGTGTCTGTGTTTGTGTGTTTGTGTTTGTGTCTGTGTTGTGTCTGTGTCTGTGTTTGTGTCTGTGTCTGTGTGTTTGTGTTCTGGTCCTGATCTGGGTCTGTGTTGTTCTCAGGCAGCAGGACCTGTTCCGGATCCTGAAGGCCTACACGGTTTACAAACCAGACGAGGGATACTGCCAGGCCCAGGCTCCTGTGGCCGCCGTGCTGCTCATGCACATGCCCGCTGAGGTGAGAGGACACAGGACACAGGACAGAGGACAGAGGACACAGGACAGAGGACAGAGGACAGAGGACACAGGACACAGGACAGAGGGCACAGGACAGAGGACAGAGGACAGAGGCACAGGACACAGAGACACAGGACACAGGACAGAGGACACAGGACAGAGGACAGAGGACAGAGAGGACACAGGACACAGGACAGAGGGACACAGGACAGAGGACACAGGACAGAGGACAGGACAGGAACAGAGGACAGAGGGGACACAGGACACAGGACAGAGGACACAGGACAGGACAGAGGACAGAGGACACAGGACACAGGACAGGACAGAGGACAGACAGGACAGACAGAGGACACAGGACAGAGGACACAGGACAGAGGACACAGAGGACAGAGGACAGAGGACACAGGACAGAGGAACAGGACAGAGGACACAGAGGACAGAGGACAGACAGGGACAGGACACAGGACAGAGGACACAGGACACAGGACAGAGGACACAGGACAGAGGGACAGGACAAGGACACAGGACAGAGGACAGGACAGAGGACAGAGGACAGAGGACAGAGGACAGAGGACAACAGGACAGAGGACAGAGGACACAGGACACAGGACAGAGGACACAGAGGACACAGGACAGAGGACAGACAGGACAGGACAGAGGACACAGGACAGGACACAGGACAGAGGACAGGACAGAGGACACAGGACAGAGGACACAGGACAGAGGACACAGGGCACAGGACAGAGGGCACAGGACAGAGGACAGAGGGCACAGGACACAGGACAGAGGGCACAGGGCAAAGGACAGAGGACACAGGACAGAGGGACACAGGACAGAGGGCACAGGGCAGAGGACACAGGACAGAGGACACAGGACAGAGGGGCAGAGGACACAGGACAGAGGACAGAGGGCACAGGACAGAGGGCACAGGACAGGAGGACAGAGGACAGCACAGGCACAGGACACAGGACAGGACACAGGACACAGGACAGAGGGCACAGGACAGAGGACACAGGACACAGGACAGAGGGCACAGAGGGACACAGGACAGAGGGCACAGGACACAGGACAGAGGACACAGGACAGAGGGCACAGGACAGAGGGCACAGGACACAGGACACAGGACAGAGGACACAGGACAGAGGGCACAGGACACAGGACAGAGGACACAGGGCACAGGACACAGGACAGAGGGCACAGGACAGAGGGGCAGAGGGCACAGGACAGAGGGCACAGGACACAGAACAGAGGGCACAGGACAGAGGACAGAGGGCACAGGACAGAGGACACAGGACAGAGGGGCACAGGACACAGGACAGAGGGCACAGGACAGAGGACAGAGGACAGAGGGCACAGGACACAGGGCAGGAGGGAGACAGGACAGAGGACACAGGACACAGGACAGAGGGCACAGGACAGGACAGAGGGCACAGGACAGAGGACACAGGACAGAGGGCACAGGACAGAGGGCAGAAGGCACAGGACACAGGAAACAGGACAGAGGGCACAGGACAGAGGACACAGGACAGAGGGCACAGGACAGAGGGCACAGGCAGAGGCACAGGACAGAGGGACAGAGGGACACAGGACAGAGGACACAGGACAGAGGACACAGGACAGAGGGCACAGGACACAGGACAGAGGACACAGGACACAGGAGGACAGGACAGAGGACACAGGACAGAGGACACAGGACAGAGGGCACAGGACAGGCAGGACAGGACAGGACAGAGGGCACAGACACAGGACAGAGGGCAGAGGACACAGGACAGAGGGCACAGGACAGAGGACAGAGGGACACAGGACAGAGGACACAGGACAGCACAGGACAGAGGGCACAGGACACAGGACAGAGGACAGAGGGCACAGGACACAGGACACAGGACAGAGGACAGAGGGCACAGGACAGAGGGACACAGACACAGGCACAGGACAGAGGGCACAGGACACAGGACAGACACAGGACAGAGGACACAGAGGACAGGACAGGGCAGAGGACACAGGACAGAGGACACAGGACAGGACAGAGGACAGAGGGCACAGGACAGAGGGCACACAGGACACAGGACAGACAGGGCACAGGACAGAGGACACAGGCACAGGAGGCACAGGACAGAGGGCACAGGACAGAGGACAGGAGAGGGACACAGAGGACAGAGGGACACAGGACAGAGGGCACAGGACACAGGGACAGGACACACAGGACAGAGGGCACAGGACACAGGGACAGGACAGGGACAGGACAGAGGACACAGGACAGAGGGCACACAGAGGACACAGGACAGAGGAGAGGGCAGAGGACACAGGACAGAGGGACACAGGACAGAGGGACAC